AGGGGATGAGAGATGAACAGAAAGAGCCAGCTTTCATTGGTCATTGTGTTGTAGTAGTGGTGTGCAGACCCTTCCCTCACGACTACACAAAAACATCGCTAAGTTATTCATTCCTTCAGAATTACTCTATTCCTATGTTTTTTTTTTTTCAATATCCACTGTGAGTTCGTGCGCTGCATAAATATTGCAGGAACAAAAGCGTGGAGTCATGTTGAATTAAAACTCGCTGGCTTTTACTATGCATTTAAATATGCTAATCTCAAATGTAGAAAATAATACAATCGCTATTATTACGAGTTTATCTTTGTATTGATATCGCATTTGATATCTTTGTACCACTTGATTTTTATTCCACATTTTATTTGTTAAGAACTTGAATATGCTCGTGATCAATTATTAAGATATTAAGATTATATTGATTTTACCCTTGATTCACAAATACCTAGCTATTAATGGAGGAGACATAATTTCAGAAAATTTATGCATATTTTAATAAAAAATGCATAATAACCACGTAATATCTTGTTTAAGGTTGTTAAGGTGCCTGCAAGGTTCGCTACATACATAAACAGACATAATATCGTGCAATAATAAATTATACTTTGTAATTTTTGTAATATTAGTTCATACTATAATATAATAAGTTCACAGATTATAAATTTAAATAATGCAACCAATTAAAAAAAAATAATATGTTTAAATATTATTTCAAAGTACTTACATAAAAAACTGTGATCCATTAGTATCTCTACCACGATTTGCCATTGATAATAAAAATGGCTTATTATGTTTCATAATAAAGTTTTCATCTATAAAAATTGCAATTCTTAAATAGTAATCAAAAACTATGCTATAATCCTCAATTGTATTCTTTGTAAATTCATACACTAAATCAAATTTATAATATTAAAATGATAAAATTACCTGCAAATGTCCCGCCATAAATTGATTCGCCACCTGTTCCATTACCTACTGAAAAATCTCCACCTTGAATCATAAAATCCTTTACAACTCTATGAAATACAATGCCTTTATAATGCAATGGTTTGCTTGTTGTTTTTCCAAGTCCCTTTTCTCCAGTACACAAAGAGCGAAAGTTTTCGCATGTTATAGGACAGACATCCGAGAAAAGCTCAAAGACTACTCTGCCCATGGGCAGTCCACCCACTTCGATGTCGAAGAATGCTCTCGCATTAACATTAGCCATGATTGAAAGATATACCTATAAATATTTATACGTTTGATGAAATAAATATCTAAAAAAATGCTTGAAGAAATTAATATGTAATAAAATGTTATAATTTTACAATTTTATCAATACATCAATAATATTCTCATATATATACATCAATGCAACGCGTTTCTTATTGTATTAATAAAAAAATTGAGTAAGATGGACAAATAGGTTATAATTAATGCAGCACTCAGATTTGTGCAACTTCGCAATTCTGTCTCGTCTGTTATAAAGATATCTTACATCTATTCTATTGAACTATTTAATAAGAGCGATAAAGATAATAATTTGAAAAAACAGTAACTATTGATTATATACACCTATAGCAATTTCGGGTTAATAGGATGAAGGTTAAAAGTTCGCAGAAATCGTTGCGTACTTACCTGATGCCAATAGTTATTGGAAATACTTGAATTTCGTTGAAACGCGTAACTTTATCAAGTTTATAGAATATATTTAACGTTGTTAGTTATTGTGATACATGCATTTCTCCATTTTGATGAGATATCAGCAATATTTAATCAATTACAACGCAATGCAATGCTACGTGTTGAAAATCTTTTCACGAAAAACCATGAAAGACGCAAGAACGATAGATTCGGCATCGATATAGAATCACTTTTACCTGCAAAAGCTACAGTAGCCAATCATTTTCTGATACAGATTTAGTAAATTTTGGAAAAACGGAAAGCTGATTGGCAACAGCATTGTCGCGTCGTGTGAAAAAAGTATAAATCATGGTGCATAAATTATCTAGATACGACGCGTTTATACGTGGAGCGAAAGCAACACGCCGCTGATTACTTACAGCGTTTTCGATTATACAGATTTTGATCGACCCAGGGTTGATCAATCACTACTTTACTATGAATTCATATCTTTTATTGGTGGAGACGATGCAATGACGTCATTAATCACCTTGGGTCGATCAAAATCCGTATAATCGAAAACAATATTAGAAAAGTATATTCGCTGTCAAACGCGCGCAACGTCATAAAACCGATTGGTGGAAAGGAGACGCAAAACATATGTCCGCTCGCTTCTATAAACCAAAAACCGAGCGCACACGGACATGTGACGTCAGCGGGTCTCGGTTGTGTGCGTGTGGAGCTCTCCGGGGAAAACTGGCAGCTCTGTACGCACCTGATATGTGACATGAGAATATACTGATTAATCTCGTTGATGGCTATAGCGAGTCGCAGGAGACTTAATTGTTTGTAAATATTTTCTAAATACTCTGTACAGCTACCAGGGCACGAAGTCCAATCTACGAGATGATTATTCGTTTTTATACGCATGTCATAGAGATTCGTCGAATATTATACTTGTAATTTTATTCGAAGAACGCTAGCTGATGTTTTTGTTCTTTTCAAGTGGATTCTAAAAACTAAATTTTTAGCTATTATGCAAATTCTTGCTGTATTCATCAATTTATAAGTACGCAAATTTGCAGGTACGTTATACTGCTTCTATATATAATTTCAGAATTTGCTCTATCATTTCTTTCGCAGTACACAAGTTTTACTTCAGGTTATAGATCTAACATTTCTTTAATTCAATGTAATTAAAGTAGTTTCAACATTACAGCCAGTTCTATATCTTTAGCACTAAAAAGAGATATATAAATTTATATATAAAATCATATTTGGTAAACAAAGGACATTCATGTAAAATATAGTTAAATATTTTGCTTTATAGGTGTATGGACAATTTAAAATTAAAGAAGGAAGATGCCACCGCTAATAGCTACGCCTCGGAAGTTACCAATCTTTGTGTTTCCACAAAGCATTACATTTTATTTAGACGATCAGTCCACCCACAAGCAAGTGTTAACTTTATACAATCCATATGACTTTTCTGTAAAATTCAGAGGTATTACATCTTTTTTCAATACAAACCTTCAACTTTAATTTATATTTTTCTGTGTATATTTAATCCTAATTTTATTTTAGTTTTGTGTACTGCGCCAAACAAATATAAAGTGGTTAACTCAGAAGGCAAAATAAAAGCTAGCTCTTGCATTGACATTGTTGTCAGACATACAGCGCTATTAGCAAATAACTGTAACATAATTGATAAATTCAGGATACACATGGAGGAATATCCCACTAAACAGGTAATATTTAAAACACATGATTAGTATTTATTGAAGATCTGTAAAAAATTAAAATTTTATAAATTATGCAAGGTAATTGGTAAACGAGATGTTGAAGCTAAGCTTCTCTCTGGAACTGCTGACATAGCTGGTAGGTCAACACCAGATCCAGATATGTTTCAACAACTTCCAATAAATGAAAGCAGACAGCAACAATCTTATACACTTATAAGCCGAAATAAAACAATGGACAGTAAGTATGTGTTACAAGAATCATTTTAAACTAAACTTTTTAAATACATTGTGTAATATATTTTTATCAAGAAACTAAAACATAAGAGATTTTATATTTTAAAATTAAAATAAAAGAAGGAAATAAGTTAACATTTTAAAAATAAATTTCTCATTAATTACTTATATTAAAAATCAGTTAATGTACAATTACTTAATACAATCATAAATTGTTATATTTTAGGAGGTACAAATTATGTAGCACTCATTGCGGGAATTATATCCATAATTGGACTACTCCTACCTACCGAGGGAGAGCAGAATCATATAGTGCCTGATTACCTTCATCCCTCTGTGAATTTTAAATTAATATTTGCATTCGTGATAGGTAAGCATAAAAAAAAGAAATATACGATAATTATTTAAGAAATAACTTTAAATATTATTTTTGTTCCAGGATTGGTCGCAAGTATTGTTTTGGGATTATAATTGTCAGCTTTTTATACAAATGATAATTTCGTATACAGAATAGGACCGCGGAATAAAAGCACAATTAATAATAAGACTTCTTTACACATCGGGCCTCCTTTCCTACAAAATACATGACTCTAGTCTATATAATAAATATGTAAACGATAAAGGAGATAAGTATTTATATCGACCAAGGTACTGATATGTTAGTTTAATAAACTTATTCTCGAGAGAATCATCGTACGATAAAATAAACGTATATTCTGGCTCGTGAGTAATACATTTCCAGGCCTACCGAGAAACCAATGTAATGCTACCGTTTAACTCATGTATATATATATTTATATATATATATATATTTAAGAAACAGATAAATTGTACATTCTTTATATAAGACATAATATAATACAACATAATACATAAGAATGCTGTTTGTTTCGTTATAATTTAAAAATTTTTACGTTATATATATATAAAATTGTGATATATATTTTTTTATTCATACTAACTACTTCTATATATTTTGAGACGATCTCATGTATACAGAGATAAATTTTCCTGTGTAAAATCGATTTTAGCTTTAAGTATTAAAAACATAGTTAAACAATTTTCCTTTGTTTTATTTTATTTTTATAATAGTTTTAAGAGCGAAAATGATTCGAAATAAAATAAGATTTTTTCTACATGTAATATATCTTGCAAATAAGGGTATTTATTTATTATCAATGTGTATTTATTATTTACATAAGTTAATTACAACACAGACACTTGTGAATAAAGTGTATCGTCAAATGTGTGTTCTTAAACCTTCTTTTTTTTGTTAAACAAATTTGCGGTCTCCTGGAGAGGTATAAATCGGCTATATTTTCAAAAAGCGTAACAAATAAGTAGGTAACAAAAAAGAATAAATCTTACAAGATTTGATATGATTTCATAACAAATTGTTCAAATTACCTGTACGTGTGTTAGAAGACTTGTAACTTGTGTTGTGTTTTACACAATTATACAGTTCTTTAAAGCCGATGTACATTCTTCAAACTCTCATTATGGGTTTTGTACTCCATAGAGGCACTAGCTGGAAGATGTAATACTCTTCTTAATGTATCTCTAATCCGCGCTGTTGTTGCTACATCCGATGCTGTTTTATTCCATACGCATATTATGTCCTCCTATTGACAAAAACAAAGTCACTCATTGCAAACTGAAGCCAAAAAACACGCTTACTTACCTGGAATCTTATAGATACAACAGCACCGCATATTTCTTCTCCTACCATAAATTGCTCTCCTAACATTGCCAATATAAGATTTTCCCAACATCTAGATACTAAACCTTTTCGTAATCTTACTATCCATTTACCACCCTTTTGATTTGCTTCATCCTAGAAAAAAATAAATAATAAGATTAGTATAAAATAAATGTGATATTGAACATAAATTAATAGAAAATAGCACTTACTTCCCACATCGGTTTTATACCGACTTTGAAAAGATGAAAATCTGTATGTGTTGTAAGTTCTGATGGTCGTAGTAAATGACTATAAAGACCCCAAAACTGTTCCACACTTGCAAACCTACCAACCAGCTTTAAATTCTGGTCATAACTTTGTATGCTAGTTTGTTTCCCAGGGCTACGTCGACTATACCAAAGTGCATAAGCATACTGTAGTTTATGCTCATTTGGATTTATTTCTATTGGAGGCTGTAAATAGATAAGAATCATTGAAACATTGTAAATATTAATCTTATATCAACAAGATCTCTGCTCTACTCACTAGTGGACCTTTTTCGACTTTTTGATTATCCTTTAATTGAGACTCCTCGTCTCCACTGTCCTCAGTATTCTTTAATCTGTAAGAACTATTATAGTTGATAAGATAAGTCAAATATAACAATGTATCTATATAATTTACATATCTTCAACATTTGTTACGTTAATAAGTGTGGAGAAAAAGACTTATTGCCACAATAATCAATTCTTCCATATGTTGAAAATATGTTAATGATATTGTCACTACTATAATCATCTAAAAGATTGCCACAACGTTGACACTGTCTACTATTGTCAAAATTAAAGTATCACTGAATGACAAGAGACAAACATTAAATATTATAAGAGAATTGAGAACTCTCACTCAAATCAATCTAATGTCACTTACGAATACGTCGTCCCTTTTGATGTCAAATCAAAGGAAAATATTTTGACAAACCATCATAAGTAGAGACACTTGAACACTATGTTGAGTTGAACGATCGTTACGCGCAATAGGAATATTTTTATTTTGACATGTAATTTTAGTGTATTCAAACACATCTAACCTCGAAAGCACCCGTGGAGAGATATATGATAAAATAAAGGGAAACTTTCACTTACGTCTCGAATTTATTGGACATGTTTCTGTTACTGTGACACAAAGCGATATCGCTGAACGCTACGAATGCGACAAATGTCTCACTGAATGTGAATAAAAATATAAGGTTTCTTTTTTGAAACGTTCTCCTCAGTTCTCCTTCTACACACGTTGAGCTCTCACATCTGCGATGTTTTCGATAAACTGTTGATCTTCCTCAGGCACATCACTTTTTTTTTTTGTTACTTTATCGTTGGAGATTTTGTACCCATTGGTACTTTAGATATCGATAGTTGCTAATTATAAAACCGCTAATAGCAGATTGTAGGTCAGAATACTTATCCCCTCATTTATAATAAAATATAAAAATACTGGTATATTCGGATTGTACAATTATGAATCAATAATCAATAAAAATGGATAAAATTTTAGCCAAGACTCAAACCTAAAAATGGTTTGAATCTTTACTAAAATTATATTAATTATTTTATCGATCATCGATTCATAATTCGGACTTCTATTGTTTACTTTGTACACATATTTTTCTCGCAGTGTGTTTTAATATGTGATTGCCTTATAATTTTTTTTATCAAAATAATATTTTTCAACTTTTGCATACATATAAGAATTAATATCTAATGAACGGAAATAAATCCAAAAGAACAATTATTAATTGATAGTCAATTAAATATTTGTAAAACTGTGCACCGTTATTCAAACAGAAATATTTTACTTGATATAACCTCATTAATTTTATCAGCTTATTATATTTTAATTTTAATTAAATGTGTAATTAAATGTGTAATTAAATGTGTAATTATCAAAGTTTTTTTATATTATTTCTGGGAGTTTCATATTTATAAATATTAAATAATGAAACTGTTTTGTTAATATGTGATCGGATATTGGGACAAGTCCGGCTACTGGAATGTTTACCTTACTTTTATTGTAAGTTGAACTCTATAATAATGTTATCTTGATAATACATTACCAAGAATTGTACATTATCTTGAATAATGTATTATCATTGAGTTTATATTTAATTTGCAGCTAGCACAGTAATTCAGTATAGCAATTAATAAGTAAGAAAATGAATACTTTATTAAAATTATTATTAAAACGTTTTCAGGGAAAGAAAGTAAGAAATAGTATAATTGCTTTATAAAAAAAAAAAATTTGTAACTTAAGTAACTGCATGTCTAGTATTCTGCAATGATTCTTTCAGTTTTCCGACTCATGGTCTATGGTGAACTCCGACTTGAGTCTCTTCATGATTTCTTGTCGCTGATACATGACTTCCCTATAGCACAGAGGTGAAAACACAATTGGGCATTCATATTGCACAGTCTCCATACACTTCGTATCCTTTACACCATCCAACTCAAATCTGAATTGCGAAATAGAAACCACTGAAAAGCAAATAGCCCAATTAGAATAAACAGATTCGTTTCAATTGTGGAAACAAAGATATACAAGCAGTCAAAGTTAGAATTGAACTTCAATCAAATGTGAGTAAAATATATATTCAAAAAATTATTTAGAGACATTTCTAAAATATTTGAAAATAATTTTAAATAAATTTGTCGTTTATTTGTTGCACTATTTATTTCTATATTGACATTTATAGGAACGGAGCAAAATCATAAATTAATCGCGCATGGTGTCCACTTACAACAACTGAAATTGAGGAAGAAGCAAGTACGATGCGTGGAAGTGATGACATAGCCATTGTTATCTTGCTTGACGGCATAATGCCCGTGCGCTATGTTACGGATCATCGGTAGGTGACTTAAATGTTCCGTGTATTGCACAGAATATAGCCAATGATCGTAATTCCCACTTTCCGCGATCACATTAAAGTCCTCTCTGCGATATGAATTTAAATCGGCGGTCAATCAATTAATATGGAACAATTTAAAAAATGTATAACGTATTTTTTTAAATTTTGTAACGTTCTTCAATGTTATAAAACGTCTAACACGTCTTTATATTTTTTCAGACGTTTTTGTGTTATTAAAAAAAACGGAAATATTTGAGGTCGTTAAAATCTTACATGTTATACAGGGTGTTCCATAAAAGTTTTATATATATGGATAAGTTTTAAGTAAAACATCCTGTATTAACTTCTTGTTAGTAATATATCGATATTGATTATACCAATTCCACAAAATATTTAAAGCTATTTTGTTACTTACATCGTTGGATTCAATTTTTTCATGTTGCTAAAGTCGGCTACAAATTCCCATATGTGTTTAGGATTCGAGTTATTTATGGTGGCTTCAAACATCACTTGGTGTTGCTTCTTATAAACAAATAGTACGTAAAAAAGTATAACGCCTATAATACTGTGCATGATGGTTCTCGTTTTCCATTTCATGGGATTGAAACTCATTTTCTACATCAGCAAAAAAATACTCATTACAAACACGTAATTTAATCTCTTGTTCCGATAACTAAAACTATTTTCGAAGCAAATTTCGGAAAATCGAATCACTGTCCGTTTTCTTCTAATTATTAATTTTAATTCGTTAATAAAATTTTGGAAATACTATTGAATTAGTCATGCATTAATTAACATTATCTATTTCACAATAATATAACACAATACAATCTGTATATACAATTGCATTAAAATTAATAGTTCCAGTTTTGAAAAAAAGTTTTCGTATATCTTATGCCAAAAAGTAAAATAGATACATTCCGACAATTGATATTCTAAAAAGGCGTGTACTTTCAAAGCCCACTTTTGTACATATATCGAAAACGTATAATGTAATGTAATGCAGAACACATACAAAATGATCAAATAATATTATAATAAAACTTTTCAGATAGATAAAATTTTGCACTTACCGCTACGAAGAATCACCTGATTGGCTTAGTACGTGTACTTCCGGTCTTATCAGTTCGAATCGAGGGAAGCTTGGAGATTCAGGAAGCAGCGATAAAAGACGCGTAGCCGGTGCGATAGCGACTCTTGGTATGTTTGATACATCTCGATCCTGCTAGTCAACCAGCGTTTCTCGCTATGTCTCGCCACTACGTCACGGTATGCGATGTATAGTCATCCGCAAAAGAATTGTAACACTTTGATTTCGCTAAATTTCAGAACACTTCCAAAAGATTGTTCTCATAATTGTGATGCATATTTTACGCATAAAACACACCAAAATTGCACGGTGATCTTGTGATTTTAGCGCATTTTAAAATTTATAAAAAATAGTATTATACTCTTTTTGCGAATGACTATACCTCAGGATCGGACACGCTAATTTGGAAAACACTTTTCATTACTATCTCAGATTTTCTCAGAAGCTTGAATTTATGCACAATATATGCTTTCATGAGTCTTTAAATTATATCATATTAGTATTTAATGGTTAATCAAGAAGTTACATCGGATGTGAATAAAAAATATTCGACGCTGCAGTTGCTTAAATTCTTATTTCAAGAATTATCTTAGTATTATTACATATTTTATTTGAGACTATATTGTTTATTAATATAAATTGCATATCGATTTGCAATTAATTTTACAATAATAACATTTAAAAAGCAGTTAATGAAATAAAAGCGCAGATAATTAAAAAGTAAAGCTACTTAAATTTAATTATACACGTGTAAGTAAATAAAAAAATATTACGTATTTTTACAAAAAATAAAAATAATTTTCTACATTTCGTACATAACAAATGTTATTTGTATATAACAATGTCATTCATTAAAAATAATTTCTTGGTCATTAAATCGAATTATTTCCCTTAGTTAGTAAATGGTTCACATGCGATGACAATGAATTATCATTTAATTCATTGGACATGTGTTTAAAATTCAACAATCTCACTAAACCACTTTGATAGCCCACCATAAGCCATAAATAACTCCATATGTTTGGATTCCATGCCACCTATCAAAATTGATTTTATTTTTTTATCAATATCTACATATAAAAACAAGAAAATTGCAGTTTTTGAAATATATAATTACTTTGATGTTTTACTCTCTGAATTTGTTTTATTCGTTTTCAATTATATTGCAAATATAGGTAGCAAGAAATTTTGGTTACTTACTTTATTTGCAGAAGTAAATGGATATTGTTCAATAGGAAACGACATCAACTTGTTATTATCTAAAGTATCCTCTCCTCTACTGATATTTTTTTTCAAGTCCTGTATATAGCAAATTGATTAATATTGATAAGATAACCCAAGCTACATATATAAATAGAGGTACTACAACCATTCACCTACCATTAAATTATCGTGGAAAACAATACCAAAACGATTTTTGCATTCGTTATAGGTTTCCGGCATATAATGATAATCCTTTGAATTCTTGTCATTTTTATTTTTATTGACTTTGCGAGGCGTGTCTTGCTGCTCTTCTAAAAAGTCTACTATCTCAATGCAAGAGCTTAACTGCAACACAAAATAATGATATAAAAATGTTTAATTCAAAGAGAGAATTATGAATACAAGATATAATCTACCTGTCTTTTCTTAATCAATAATTTTTCTGAATATAGTAACTGATGAGGAAAGATGGTTATTACTTCTCCAGCTAATGTACCATGTGCGATACTGTTAGCAAAGTCGGAAACAGTGATGCCCTACAAAATTAGTCGTTTAGAAAAGTGTTAAATTATTCGCTATCTGAAGCAGACAGCAAGAGTAAGACAATGTTCTTACATAAGTTGGTGTGTTGGTTGGTAAAATTGAGCAATATTTATATCCGTATTCCCTCAATGGTATTATGTAAGAATGCGTATATTTGTACCTAAAAGAATAATCACGTTAGAAATATGATAATTTTGTCAGTTGTTGCCGCTTGCATGCGACAGCAAATTTACCCAAGTGCATCGTCGAAGCTAAGCACAACACACGGCCAATTTGTCATCCATATACCATCTGTTATTATACCCTTTTTTGTACTGTTCTGCGGCGCGCTTGTATCTTCCAAGTCCCAAAATTTGTACGATCTGTCTAAGCTGGCGGAAGCCAGATATCGACCGTTCATATATGGAATTAATGCCACCACTGCGCAAGAAAATAAAGTGAAATTGTACATTTTCTTTGTTTTCTTATATGTATTGTTAGAGGAACGAGATGAATTTGCTTACTGGTAACTGCGTTATGATGAGCGAAGAAATGTTGAGACGCGTTTATAAATTTTGTATTATTCCGCACGTTAAGCAACAGAAACGAGGTAGTTGTGAGATGCCACAGTGCAATATAGCCATTCGTGAAACCTGCCGCGATGATGCTGAGAAAAAATACATTATGTAATTATATAGTTTGTGATTATGCAAATCTCAGAACAAATAGCTTGGATTGAAGATGTTACCTGTGTCCATGCTCTTTTGTCCACGATAACTTAGTACACTGCCAATTCTGCTTATTATTGTCATACATAAGATGGTTTACAACTAGTGTTATCACCGGGTCAGTTTTGTAAATCGGCCACCTTGAAGTAAATCGCATAATCGTGAATGAAACTTCACGAATAAGACATAAAATGGAAAGCAATAGAAAATTCACTCACGAATTATGTTCTGTTTTTTCGAATTCAAGTTCTTCTGCAAACGGCAATGAATAAATATTTACACATCCGTCTGAGCACGCGGCTGCGAGCAGTCCCATTCGCTTAAGCTTATTCTCTTTTTCCGTTTTGCAAGAATTGTGAAGATCGATATCCTGATAGCATCCTGACGGACACCATTCTAAGCACCAAACTGTGCCGCTATTATGTGCAATTGCATAAGCTAAAGTGGGTAATTTATTTGTACTCTGAACTCTGAAAAGAAGACACGATTTCAATAATATCATAAATCATAATAATATAATACCAATAAAAATTAAGCAGAAATATCAGTTGAATTTATATAAATTTATCGCGCGCACATGCTATTTTTAAACTTACTCGTGATCCAAGCTGCCTATGTCCCATATTTGTATGATATTTGGACTGGAATATTCCTTTCCAATGGTGTATTTATTCTCCATAGCCGGATGCGTGCTGATCGCAACATATTGCGTTGGATTTTTGGTGTACATTGGCGATGGAATAGGCAACCACGCTAAAGCCCATATTGGACCGCCAACGAAAAATGTTGGTATACCTAAAACAAAATCATATTTTGAAACTCGTAGAGACCTTAAATATTTTAATGAGACATAATCTGTATGACAGTCTCATGACATACCTTCATAAAAATTGCTTTCAAATCTACTGATGTGTTTCCAATCACTGTTGTCAGATTTTCCCTTTTTCGATGAATTGGCGTTTGCGTATTTAAAGGGCATTGAAGTTATTAGTTCTGGAAGATATTTTGCAGCATCGTCACTTCTCAATAATGTAAAAGAGTTCGGCATAAGATCGTTAAATAACGTAAGCTCATAATTTTTCCGCTCGCTGTAAGAAATTATAAATATATAATAGATTTTTTAATAAAAAAATTAGTTTTGTTAGCATTAATTACAACAGTCTAATCAAAATTTAAATTTTAATTGTGTTTAAAGCACACATATAACTTTATGTGCATGTACTTACAATTCCATAGTCCAATCTAAAGATGGTTTATACATTTTTCTTGATTGTGGCTTTTGAAATGGCACTTGATCCACGAAAGCTATTTTATTGAGTATTCCTAAAATTTCAGAGATGGTATAATTCGAGAGTTGTGTATGACACGAGACACGAAATAAAGATTACGTTTTCTAATTTAGACTTAAAGTTTTATTTGCGTGCTACAATTTATCTATTCGAGTTAGGGATTAGATAAACCAACGTTAAAATAAACATTGTAAATCATACTAAAAAAAATCATATATGTTTATACATATTATATTATATGATTTCATATTATCGACTTACTTGTAATATCAGAATGTTGTGTGTGTGTAATTCTTGACGAACGGTGCCTTTGTTTTACATTAAATTCAATTACACTTTCATCCGATGAATCCGATGAATCTTCATTATCTTTTTCGAAATCAGAACACTTTTCAATGTCTTGGTTGTCCGGATGAACTTCCATTATATGATCCACCATTTTATCTTGAGAATTTGTTAAAAACTTGCAAACTTTACATATAAAGTTCTGGAACAAAAGAGATTTTTTTTATTTATGTACTTAAGAACTTTCTAATCAAGCAGAAACTATGAAATATAACATACCTCTTGTGGAATGAAGTTACATTGAGAATGATGTTCGCAGATATTTTCATAAGAAGAACATGTATAAGTGCATCCTTCTTGCTTACAAGATGCGATACCTTTTGCAATTAATTCTTTCTTCCATTGACTTTTCCAAATGGATGGAATTCTTTTCTTAAGCTCTGGCATTTGTATTAAATTTTTCTAAACACATAAACATATTTTTATATACAAAACTTTCTATTTCTGCTGCATTACGATCAATTTCTCAATCAGTTTTATTTTGATATTTCAAATCGTTGGTGAGTTCTCGTTTTTCAAGTTTTCAATTATAAGTTATTAATAGTATTTAAATTAACTTAATATTATAAGTAAATAATATGATTTGTTTAATTTCTATTAAAAAAAAAACTAATCTGTCCTGAGTCAAATAATTTGTCGTTAACGCGCATATACTTATGTAGACTTATGATATATAAATGTAATGAAAAAAGCTTTAACATACAAGAAAGGAGTGAGGTTTTGATTTCATTTGATTCGTCGTGCATGGATCTTTCATAGATTTGGCAAACTCCATTATTTTTGGTACTGCTCTGTAATATATTATACATATATACGCATCTGTATTAATAAATATAATTTAAGCAGTTTATTTAAAATTTTTACTTCTCTGCTGCCTTCCGTTTTGTTCTTTCTATTTGTATAATCGGTGTTTCTCTATTTTGATTCTGTTCCAATTGTCTGTGATAACGTTCATGTATTTCCACGGACGAAGGCATCATAACAGAATTGCAAATGGGGCATGTCACCATTAATGCCTGTCTTTCCTAATTAATGGTAAGATAAAGTAAAATCCAGTAAATACACTTTATAACATAGTATGATATACTTTTATAATATACTTTTTATACTTACTTCTTCTGATTTTCCACAAAATTGCATATGTGATATGAAACCTTGGACACTCCGTTTTGTAGCTTCACATTTTTCACAAGTTAGATAAGTCTTCTTTTTCTTAAGGGCAAATGTTAATACTTTCTTTAACAATTTTACATCATTTTCAAAATCCTGTAAAAGAAGAGAAGAAATTTGTTAAAATTTTATTAGTGTAGATGCGTTATATTAATAAAAATATTATTACTAGTGGTTCTTCATCTTCTCTCCAAGCCATGTTATTATGTTGATACAAGTTATGTGAAGACCATTGTCTTCTTGATATTTGCTGGTTACATCTCGAACAAGTTATTAAATGTTTCTGTAAGCAAGAATTTCAGTTAAATATACTATATTATACATATTATAATTTTTAGTATAAATTTCCAAAATATGTTGTAACGTACAGGTGTTCCTTCATTTGTAGCATCTGTCGCATCATTTTCAGTATCTATGCCAGGCAAATCCCCTGTTGTATTTGTGTTATCTAAATCCACATTGTCACTCTCAACTGTTTTCGATTGAGAAACATCGTTTCTCATAAATTTAGGAATGTATTCCTTGTCTAAAGAATTTTCCACTATTTTTCTACCGCGACCTCGACCACGTCTCCTACCTCGACCTCTACTGCCAACCGGGCGACCTCGCTTTTTGACGAAAGATTCATATTCAACATCCGCAGTATCGCTTCCGTCGCTTGAATCACTTATATTGGTAGTAATCTTGATTCTACTAGTAGATCTTTTACTACGTGTCATGGATTCTTCAGTAACAGCAGGAATTTCTTGCGACGTATCATCATTTTTCGATTTCGTTGGTGTATTTTGATCTATAGAATTGTTATCTACCTTTCTAGGCCTACCTCTTTTTCTTTTGATAGTTGGTACAGATAATTGATTTTGTTCATTCTGCTTTACATTTATTTCAGTTGTCTCACGTGTATCTTTATGTAATATTGATTTTAAATCTGTATCGTCATGGGATGCTCGAGACGAAGTCTGTTGCTTGACAAGTTTCTCTTGGTCATATACTGTACATTCCTCTGCCAATTTCCTTGGATCGCCATCTAATTGCGTTTTATCTGTAGATAATTGTGCTGAAACAGGTAAGTTATTCTCAACTTTAACTGATTTGAGCTTTTCGTTGTTATCTTCGATAGAAGAGAGAAGATCTGAAGGCAGTGAGCTTGTCGGTTTAGCTGTTGCAGTTATCTTGCTCTTGATTTCTTTAACTCTTTGACTTCCTGCTACAGTTTTCTTATTTGATAAAGTGCAATGCTGTTCTTTTACAATTTTATCTTGTGTTTTTGTCGACAAAATATTATCATCAGTTATTAATATTTTCTGAGAAAGATCACTCGAAGCAACACAATCGTTAATTTTTCCTTGTTGCTTTTTAGAAAATGTCTTTGTCATGTTATTTAAATTTATTCTTTTCGCATTAGTATCATTCTTCTCTTTAGCAATAGTATCACTTGCATTATTACATACAGGTATCGATTCAGTTTCATGTGCTACATTCTGTGAAATAACTAACTTACTGGACACAGGCACTTTATTCTTTCTAATTATCTTTGCATCTGTTTTACCATTTTGCACTTTATCAGAATTATTTACTTCTATGCTAATAAAGTTTTTCGAATTATTTTGAGTAGAAAGTGATACATTTTTCTGAATACAACTCTTGTCATGTTTATCTAAACTACTGGATGCTCTTTCACATGTATTATTATTTTTCATATCAGGATAATTTTGGTGGAATGATTTATTATGCTTTCTCTCTGTTTCCGATAATAATAAAATTCTTTCGTTTGAAGTAGAAGCTTAAATTTAAGAATAAAAGATACTATTATTGCTAATTCAAAAGTACAATTTTAAATAAAAAGTAATAAAAATACTTACCACTAGCTGCATTAGCATTAACAGAAATATCTTGTAGTATGTCTGAAGAATGGATAAATGTTTCCTTACTATCTTTGGATGCTGGATGCTTTGGATTTGATGTACGCATGGAACATTTATTTTTATGTTGCATATTAGATATGACATTTTTCTTGCTCATATTTTAATAATTTTCAATTATTAGTTATCTGATTCTTATTAGGATGCTCTTTGTTAGCTGAAAAAAAAGGAATTAAATTTGTTTGTAATATAATTACCATTTTTATTCATATTCATAAACTATTTTATAACACTCTGATAATAAAAAAAAAGAAAAAGCTAACAATGAAAAGGAAGGAGCTTTGGGGATTCGAACGTAGAACATGTGATGTTAAAGCCAAACCTCTTATTTACATCTCCAAAAATAAATGTCAATGAAAGATGTTTTGTATATTTTTTTATGAATATTTACGTTTATTGCATAATGCGCTTACTTGAGCATAATGCATACTTACCATTATATTATTAAAAACATTACTACTTCTGTTAACTATTGTTATAATACGAATTTTACGATTCTCAATTACTCATCCATGGAAATGTGAGCAGGTTAGGTGTCATAAATTGGTATGATCATATGTCATATTCACTTTGATTTGCTTTAATTAACTGCAATTTGTATTAACATTAACTTTTCTAAGCTGGATTGATTCACCACACGATTGATTATAACGAAAATAATATTTTACACTCAATGTTTCGCACAAGTTCATATATATAATTTTAAGCGTCGTACACATGCATAAGAAATAAGATATTGATTGGCTACCTGTTGGTTATTCCTTCTCAGATGTGCCTTATCAAATGAAACACTTTCAGCTTGATTGCATTATAATGAATTTTTGCATATAGTTGTTCATTGAAAAAGACACTATTTTTTATTTATTAATTTAATATTTTGTATAACTTCCTAATATTGTTTTGTTTTCAAACCCATAATTCAGACCAATTTGCAATTGCATAATGTGCAGGAAAATTAATTACTAATATGAAACAGCGTATTTTTTACGTTAGACAATCGATTTCCAAAAATGCATACATCATATATGCTACTATATAAAATTATTTAATTATATATAAACTATTCTTTGCAGTTGCATAGCAGTTTTTACCATTTTTTTTTCTTTCTAATAAAGAAAGTATAGTCGTTCTAATTTCATATAGGAATATTTACATTTCATCAATTATAGCATAATATAATAACAAATGTGATTTTGTGGGTAGAAGACTTTATTTATGAAGAGATTTATAAATTAAACCATTCTTCTCAGAAGTTCATTAATTTTATCCTCTCGGTTTCCAAAGTCACCACCTTCTACATAATGGTTAGTCTTCTTACGCCAGCCACCATTTGGTGTATTCAGCTAGAAACAAAAATAATTTTTTATATAGATATGCGATAGAATTAAAAAATTAGAATTAAAGTTTTTTGTCTATCTTCTATAAATTAATATACAAATGTTTGAGCTCTTCTTAGATTTCTGATATCAAGGTATCATATATCAGTAAGAAAAACTCTTCTTGCTTTTCGACATAATAGGAGGTTAATTAGACTTTGTATTATTCTATAACCATGCCTATGTCGTAATATGAAACATTGATACATGTTCTGTACATTATGCTTATTTAATTAAAAATATATATACCTTGAAGGGCCATAAGAAATTGCTGGCATATTTAAACTTTGGGCCAACAGTGAATATTTCATGGATTAAATCTTCAGTACAAATGATATTGGATCGACCTAAACAAACAAAAATTTTTTTAAGTAAATTGTTCTAATTGTTAATATAGAGTATAGTAATAATGAGTTTTTGTATAATTTACTGTCAAACCCAACTACAAAAATTACGCAGTTCGATTTTTTCAGAAAATTACTTTAATTTTTGACAAGCTGGAAGGGAGAATGTGAATATTCTCAAAACTCCCATGGACTTGTCAAAAAATTATTTGTACAAGATATAACATGCATGCTAATTATGTGTTAGTTTTACTAATTTTAATCATTATTGTTAACTTGAAAATAGATTTAGAAAATTTACTAACCAAGCTTTTTCTCAATGATGGAGTTGCTGGTTATGGGTACGCGCTGTCTGTTTATCTTGGCAAATCCACGTTTATAAATCAACTCACGAACTGATTTCAAATTAGGATATCCCCATGTAATATAAGGTTCAACAATACGTAGCATATTAATTGTTGCTTTGTTCAATTTAACGAAAACACCATTGTTGATCTGTTTTAGACGGAACAATTGCAGTATCTTCCGTACTTTCGGTGCAACTTGATTTATACTAAAACAATCATAATTAATTTATAAATGTATATATAATTGTAATTGTTAAATTAAATTTGATTATACAAAAAAAGAAACAAATAAATGTAGATGTGATCAATGTGCTAGCAATTATGTATCAATACTTACCCGCGAATACGAATAACAAACGCAAGACGCGCTTCTCCAGGAATATAATAATTTCCTCGATTTTTAGCTTGTCTCATTAACCGGATTTCATCCCTTTCCTTCCTTCTATATTCTTTCACATATTGTTCTGCTCGTTTAAAAATCTGTTTCCTCTTCTTATAACGATCTGCACGTTGCTATAAAATAAAAAAATACAAACTGAATCAAGTTGTTTTATAATATACATAAAAAACTTGTAATTTTTATTATAAAGAGTTTGACATGAAATATAAACATAAGTTATAACAAATAAAATTATTCACCTAAAATATACAACAATTACCTTGAGTGAGACCTGTAAACGTGCAGTTTTAACTGCCTCACGGCGTTTTCTTTTCTTCAGTACCGACTCTGGCACTGCCGGCAGCTTGTTAGGCGGAGCCGCAGTTTCTTTCTTCCTGTACAGAAAAATACAATCTTGCCATTCACCATTTCTTTAAACCCATGTGTTGATCTGGCTTCCATAAAAAAATAGGTTATGTTATGTTGTATAGCATGTTTTAATTGTTAATAACAATATTTTGTTAACTTTTGTGCAACATATAAATATTTGCGACAAATAAGTAGCAAGTTTAACTTATAATCAACAAAAAGTAAATGCGTTTTCGCGAATAACAATAATTATAATCACATCAGGACATGAGATACAATGCACCTGTAAACTTTGAGTCAGTAATTTTATCGTATACTTTGTTTTAACATAAAAATATGGATTGATAAACATACATAGATAAAAAAAAATTATTATTATAACATCTCTAAATTTAGGAGAGCATATTATCAATTGATGTGACCAGATTTTCCGAGCTACAAAAAGGTTACTTACGCGTCAGCCATTCTTCCGTGCGATAAAAGATTTCTTAACCTCTCTTCACCTCCTAGCAAGTCCAACCGGAAGTTGGCTACTAGAAACCATTGACTACGCAGTTATGAGAACTGCAAAAGTAAGTCAATTCAATAAATAGATTGACCAATCAGATCATATATAGTTGTTCTAGTGAATTTCTTATTCTTATGAAGTCTATTATTACATCAAAACCATGTTCAATCGATTTCAATCAGCATCATATTAATTCAGAAAACAAATTTTAATAGATTTTTTTAAAAATAAGAGCATATTTTGTCTACCGGGTTTATTTCAGTTTTATTAATAATTATCTCATCAATATTATCGATGTCTGATTTATTGATAGCGAATATCAACTGAGTTTTAATTTAAAACATCACGTTACGATGTCGCTACATAGTACGCGATGCAATGGTATTTCGGTGAATCGATGATAGCGAAGAAAAAAAATCGTTGTATGTGTAGTTCTACATAATTATGTCTGTTATCAGTAATTACATTCGTTATCAAATGTCAATGCAAGATAAGAAACAAGGTAATGGTCGCGATAAATTTATTTTATAATGGCGAATATGGCGATATCTCAAGCTTTGTTTAAGTTTTGGCGCTAACATATGTTTAGAATATTATATCATGTTTGCAGAGCTCCGTAAATTTCTATCAAACTTTTATCAACATCACGGAACATGATGAGTTCTACATCGCACGTCGTACAATTCTACAAATTGCGTCGTTCTTTCATATGTAATATGTATTACATATATGCGTTCTTTCACCAATTCAACAAAATCTCTCCATGAAGGTTATTCACGAAGGTTATTTTACTAACGCAGTTTGTCGTCGAAAGGTAAATACAAAAGACATACGCAATTTACGCGACTTTAAACTTTTCTGGATTGAGATCATCCAGCATATTCGAGATGAATACATAAGCCTCGTTGAATCGCATAAATTGTTATTCATATTTTTTGTTCTTTTGCTGTACTAACTATGATATACTAATCGTAATATATTAATCAATTTGGTATATTAACTACCCCAAAAATGTAATTCAATATCTCATAAGAAAAACCGGCGAATATTTTCGCAAGGTTTTTGCATGAATTGAACACAATGATAAATTACACAAATGGATTTTTTGAATTGTAATTAATTTTTAATTTTACTTACAATTAGATAGAATATAATTTTTCCAAGCAAGTAAAAGAATTAAACTTTCTATCTATTTTTCTGCATTTGTCCACATCGCAGAATCAGATAGAATCTAAAAGAATTGTTATACATACATTACATGTGCAACATGATATTATGCATAATCTTGTGAATAGAAAACCTATATGAAAAATATTACTTTTTTATATATACATTCTTATTATGTTACATATTACACTGACAATGAAAATATCATTTTAACGAATTAGCGCTAATGCAAGGATACAATATGTTTTTTTGGGAAAAGTTAAATATAAACTAACGTATACTATACTATAATACTACAAACTAAACACAATCGATTTTACTTATTTTCAATGTTATTCCATTTATTGGCGTTAATAGGTTTGTGTTAGGTTTATTTGTGTAAGGTATATCCGTCTTCTCGCAAGTCTCAAATTTGTATTTTTGTAATATTTTTATCAGCCCAAGTTTAGTCTGGTAATTTGCGAAGCGAAGTCCTAAAAACAGAAAACAATTATTACATAAAACGCGTGCTCTTACTTTTCAATTGTAAGAAATTTCACGATCAGAAGGAATGGGAATAGAGAATTCTTCTTGCGAGTAAAATTATTTAAAAAATCTATTTTACTCCATACCAATACAATTTCTCGGTCCATCACCAAAAGGCAGATAATACATCGCGTGTCTTGTTTGCACAGCTTCCTCGCTAAATCTTTCTGGATCGAAAACATCTGGCTCTGGATAAATGCTTGGATCGCGTTGAATCGCATAAATCGGGATCCATACTTTTTGACCTTTTGGTATGCTCACTTTGGTACCATTAAAATTATAATTCGTAGTCGATTGTCTCATAAGAAGTGGTGATGGCGTATGTTTTCGTAAAGTTTCTGTCAGCATGAAAAACAATGATAGATAAGTTCCATAAACACATTTCTGTGCATTAAAAAAGTACAATGAATTCTGATAAGCTTATTACAAATAAGATTACATCACAACATTGCAGAAAATTCATAGCAAGACATATTTTCCATTTATTTTTCTCTTTAAATAATATACCTTTTACAACTTTATCCAAGTAAATCAGTTCTTTTATATTCTCGTATGTGATGTCACCATGTTTTAGATATGCCTGATTAATTTCCTCATGTAATTTGTTTTGTATTTGCTGATTTAATGCTAATTCGTAAAGTGCATAGCTTATAGTCGACGCTGAAGTTTCAAAGCCGGCAATAAAAAATGAGTATGCTTGAGAAGCTAGAAAGCTGTCAGTCAAATCTGTGAAATATATTGTTATTTTATTATAAATAATTTAATTTCTTGTCAATTATTACAAATCGCTATTCATTTACTCAGAATTTAATGTCAGAATTGATGTACAATAATTAATAATCATTTATTACAGTTTCGAAGCAAAATTTTATTCTATTTTATTATGATTTAGAATTATCGGCAAAAATATAATTTTTTACATAAAAAATTTCTATATCAGAGAATAAATTCTTGCATACTTTTATGTATCTATTCGTTATACAAGAATAGAATAATTAAATTTTTATTTAATCCAAATTCTCATACACATAAATTCTAGTCTAAATACTCCTAAATTCTTTCTTCATAAAATTCAGTAATATTTAGAATTATTATGTAACAAATACGTAAAAAGCGAACGTCAGTTACTTACCGATATCTCTGACTTTATCCGGGTGGTTTCTCAATTCGCGCAGCGTATCAATGAAATCATGCTTGACGATATTATTCGCTTCTCTATAATTCATGTTCTCCACGGTAAGACGTGTGTAAAATGTGTGATGTTCCAAATGCGGCAAAAAGTTACCGAGAATATCGTACAACCACGGTATAGACTGTCTTATTTCATTCCGTATAATTACATTCCAGGTGTGATTGAATACCTGTTTTCCAATTCTGCGAAATTCGTTACCTTCGTCCGACAGAGCATCCATTTCGATACCGAAAGCGCAGGTACCGATAACATCAGTGGTATACATGGTCGCCAGCTCGCGGCACTCAATAAGCTTGTCTTTGCTCGTTAATTTTTCGACATATTTGTCAAGCTGATTGGCGCACTTTGATATTAGGAAGAACATTTCTCTTATTTTACTGGTCGTAAAAACAGGTGACAGCCTCGTTCTTATAATTCGCCATCTTTTAGTGTCCAAATTAAAAATATGTTGCGACAAAGGATCGGTCTGTAATATAAAGAAGACAAATTCTCATTATTACCATTTAATTTTCTAAAATTAAAAAAATTTGTATTTTGGAAAATATCACAATCGTATTTCAAATATTTCAATACAATTGAAAATTCTCGTACCTTTTCGCTAATGTTCTTAGCTCCTCTGTCGGAAAATGCGGAGAAATCTTTGATGAGAACATCTTTAATTAAATCTGGATCTTTTAAAATAAGGATAGGTGTTTTCTTGTGATATATGCCTATCATGGCTTCTTCTTTGTAGTCATTGTAGACTTCTTTTAAATAATCACCTAGGAATTTTTTTGCGAGCATTACATCCTTAAAAGTACCGAATATCGGAATTGGTTGAGGACCGCGAACGCCATGTAATTTCCAAAAGTTGTAGTTTGACGTAAAATAATAATACAATAACACAATTACAGTGACAATACCGCACAATATTTCGAAGTACATTGTTCTGCAATTATAGATTATACCACTTTATGTCACAAATAATCTAGAAGAGACAAATGCAATAATCTAACACGATAAATATAGGTTTCCACCTGTGAGGTACTATTGAAAAACGCTTCAATAATAGTACTTCATAGGTGATGTGGAAATCTATTGTCCCATATTTATTATCTTGTTACATTTGTGATATGGACATTCCTGAGGCTGAGTATCACATATCTTAGTTATGGGCGTTGTTAGCGCGTTTGGTGACTCGTTGCTAGCATGCGAGCAACAAAGAGGAAACAGTAGGCGTCAATCAGAAAATCGAGCTGAAAGTTGCAACTAATTCTCATCTCTGATCTAACGGTATATTTGGAAAATTAAAATACCAACAAAGATGAAATAAAAATACTTTATTAAGAAATAGATTTAACAGTTTTTGAAACTTTCATCAGCTTTAACAGATTTAGATTAAAATATAATTGTTGAGAGATTGCTTATATATATAAAAATATAATAAAAAATTAATTTTATCAAATAGATGAAGATTAATTTTATTAAATAGATAAAGATTACTTTTATTAAATAGATATAATAAATTAAATAGATATAATAGATCAAATAGATCTTAAAAAGAATTAAAAAAAGAAATAATAAAATTTCTTTATAATTCTCTATAATTTTCTTTATACAAAATTTATTTGAATGTACTTGTCAATATATCTAATTAAGAGTGAATAATGAAAAATAGTTAATACGTACATTTTATAATGCTGTTCTCGAGAATAATCATCAAAGAAGCACAAATGATCCAATTATTATTACTTTTTTTAATATTGCTACTCATCCGCTACTCATGCCGTTTTTCGAATATTTACAGTTATAATGCACGAATATTGAGAGGTGAAGCACGCATGTCCGATATGCCTGACATGTCGACGAGACGCGTGTAACTTCATGTGAGAAGGCATTCCTGTCCACGTGTGTACAAGTTAATATGTAACGTGTCGCTATAAAAAAGTGTATAAGCATTTTATGATCGTGTGTATTATAAAAGTGTATAGCGTGCATTATAAAAGTTTTATTATCAAGATTGATTTATATTTTTCGGTGTGTAAAGAGTTATGTAATTTATACGTACGTATCATCATACGTACTGCGTTAAATAGTGATAAATTAGTATGGCAATGATCTTTCACATTGCAGTCATTGTAGACTTCTTTCAAATAATCACCTATAAATTTCTTCGCGAAACATAAGAAATAAGGGACTTATTAAAAAATAAGACATAACAAACTTGCAAAAACAATAAATTATGATTGATCTTTGCATTTTAAATATCTAATGAATAAAATAAATGAAATACTTTTCTACAAAGCCAATTCGCAAAAATCACGAAGTATCTAAAAGAATTATAATTTATAACATATAACATTGTATTATTTAAAAGAATTATAATACATAACATGCAATATCGTGTAATATTACACTATTTTTATGCATAATCCTACAAAGAAAAAATCTAGGTAAAAAATCACTTTTTTATACAATACATTATTATTTATTATCATGTGATACATGATTATCCTAATCTTATTTACACTTAATAAATAAAAATAGTATTTTAACGATTTGAAGTTGTTGAGAAGATTTTAGATATCATGTAATTCTCGAGTATATTATTGAAGATCTTAAACTAATCTTGATCGATTTTAGTTAATCTCAAGTGCATTCCACCTGTTGGTGCTAATAGAAACGCTTTAGGATTGTTTATATAAGGTATTGGTGTTTTTTCGCAAGTCTCAACTTTGTACTTTCGTAATATTTTGATAAGTCCAATTTTAGTTTGGTATATCGCGAAGCGTGCCCCTAAAAATGGAAAACATAAATAAGGTCATGGTTTTCGATTGAAAAAATTTTTCGGTTAAATGTAATATGCATAAAAATCTCTTGTAAAGCAGATATGCTTAAAAGATCATTGTACCAATGCAATTCCTCGGACCGTCGCCGAAAGGGAAATAAGACATTGGGTGTCTAGTTTTCACAACTTCCTCGCTAAATCTCTCAGGATCGAAAACCTCTGGTTCTGGATAAATACTCGGATCTCGTTGAATTGCATAAATCGGAATGAATAGCACTTGGTCTTTTGAAATACTCAATTTAGTATCTTTAAAAGTATAATTCGATGTCGATTTTCTCCTGAGAAGTGTTGCCGGCGGATACTTTCGTAAGGTCTCTGCATGTGTCAAAAACAATCATAGATAAATTTTAAGTGCATTTGTGCGAATCGAAAGGCTATAAACAATTTTTAAACTTATATAAAACTATTAATGTAAGATTATAATATCGCTGAAAATTAATAATATATTTCTTTCGCTTATTTAATTTTCTTTTCGACATACCTTTAAAAATTTTGTCCAAGTAAGTCATATCTTTTATGTTTTCATATATCAAATTGTTACCATGTTTTGCATATTGCTGATTAATTTCCTCACGTAGTTTGTCTTGTATTTGAAAATTCAATGCCAACTCGTAGAGTGCGTTGCTCATAGTCGTCGATGAAGTTTCAAAGCCGGCAAGAAAGAATACGAATGCTTGAGAAGCTAACAAACCATCAGTCAATTCTGAAAAGTATTACATTCCTTTTATAGTAAATAATTTAATTTTCTGATGATTATTGAAAATTTTAATTAGTTTATAAAATTTAAACTAAAACAATTTCGACTAAAAACATTTATTTGTATGAAAATGCATAAAAATGAATAGTCACTATTTACCAATATTTCCCACTGTTTCTGGGTGTTTCTTTAATTCGCGTAGCGTATCAATGAAGTCGTGCCTGAAAATATTATTCTTTTCTCTATAGTTTATATTGTCCATTGTGAGGCGTATAAAGAATTTGGTGGCTTTTGTTTGCGGTAAAATGTAACCAAGAGTATTGTAAAGCCACGGCGTGGCTTCTCTCAATATGTTCTTTACCGATTTATACCATCTCGGAGTGAATATCTCTCTTCCCATCTTGCGAAATTCGCTATCTTCGTCCGACAGAGCGTTCATTTCGATACCGAAAGCGCAGGTACCGATAACATCAGTCGTATACTTGGCTGTCAGCTCGCGGCATTCAATAGAGTCGCTTTTGCTCGCTAGTTTCTCTATATATCCGTCCAACTTATCGGCGCACTCTGATATTAAAGAGACCATTTCTTTTAATTTACCGGACGTGAAAACAGGCGACAGCTTCGCCCTTAAAAGTCGCCACCTTTTAGTCTCCAAAGCAACAAGATGTTGCGACAGCGGTTCGGCCTACAATATCACACAAAAAAAGATTATAATCGGGTGGATTTAGATAATTACAAAAACTTTTAAAATTCGAACTTTTTAAAATAAATTTCATGATTTTTTGCATGTCATTCGATCATTCATGAAAGTTTTTCGAAGCAATCGGTTTGAATATTATAAAATATAAATAAATTAAAGCACTCATACCTTTTCGTGAATGTTTGCGAAGTCCCTTTCAGTGAAATTAGAAAAATCTTTTATAAGGACATCCTTAATTAAATCTAGATCTTTTAAAACAAGGATGGGCTTCCCCCTAGTAAATATCCCAATCATGGATTCATCTTTGTAATTATTGTATAGTTCCAACGTATAATCACCTATAAACTTTTTCGCAAGCATGACATCTTTGACGTTACCGAATATTGGTATCGGTTGTGGACCGCGAATACCACGTGATTTCCAGAAATCAAAGTTCGATGTAAGATAATAATAGAAAGCTAGTACTACTGCGACAACGCCGCAGAGTATTTCGAATAATGCCATTATTCTGCAGTTGTCAATTGATTATCGCAAGTTATTTTCACTGAAATGAAAAAAAATGTTTTATTAAATATATCTTCTTGAAAAATTGATCGTGACATTTTAACATTAAAAATTGAACGTTACAAAATTAGAATAATTCATATATGTCAGAGTATCGAAAGTAGGTATTTCACGTAGAAAACAACTTAAAAAAATAAATACCAGTTTAAAACGATAAAACATATGTTACCAAAATTTAATGGGATTTTATCGATATCAAAGAACGATAAAAAATGACAGAACAAAAACAGATACGATATTAAAGATAATAAATTGTTTAGAATAGAAGTAATGAAATTTTTTTAGTATTATATAACGCATTTCAGCTCGTGAGTGATGTAAACATAAGATAATAAGTATTTCTAATTAGGATATTAACAGACAAATTTAACATACCTGAATCCCGATAGATGTAATTAACAATTCTGCTTGTAATAATGCACTTAATAATGATAACAATTCATACTTGTCATGCGTGTTACATCTATACTGGCTTGAATGATATTGAATACGCTGTCACAAAGACGTACAGCTAAATAAGTGCGTCATATGATGATTTATCAAAATGATATCTTCAAGATTTATCTGCTCTCTCTCTTTACTTTGCTCTCGGATATAGTACAAATAATTACGCAATTAATGAGAACGATAAAAACATTGTTAAATTTTTTTAAAAAACGTTTAATAAATTATGATGAATTTCTAAAATCAATAATTTCTTAGGCATTTAATGTTACGTAATAAAATAGTATTATCGATTGTATTCCTTATATATCGCGATATCTTTTTTAACTGAACGCAATATATGTTAAATGGAGAAATAGAGTAATACGGTTCTAACAATTTCAAGTATATTTTGGAAATTGAATTGTGCCTTGAAAGATATATTTTTATACATGCATGAAATACTTTTATACGAACTCTCACATTGAATCAAAAAGTATCCAAAAAAATTATAATACATAACATATGCGACATTACGTTATCTCTATACAATCCTGCGAACAAAAATCTAAATCAGAGAAAAATCACTTTTTCATATAATACATCATTATTTTTACGTTTCACATTATAATCCTATTTACATTTGGCAGATGGAAATAGCATTTTAATAGTTTGGAGTTGGTCCAAGGGTGCGTTTTTTTTTACTCATTACGGTAACGATGACACCGACAGTTCCCTTCGTAAGATGAGTATATAAAAATAAGTTCTTGTTCATCGTGTCATAAAAATTATATCAGATCGTTATAACTTGACGATGACTCATCATTGCGAAGAGTCGTATAGAGTAAGAGCTACTGTACATAAATGAGTTTGCACGATCGCAGACCGCTGTCAAAATCTGCTAGTCATTACACTAATAACAATAATTACATGTAATAATAATAATAAAAATCGTAATAATGTAATAATTATAATTATGATTATAATTATATTATAATAGTCATATAATTATGATTATGATTATAATTATAATAACAGTAATAAAAATAGCAATAACCAGTATTAATAATGGCGATAATTATTACGCGGATCATAATAGTAATATCGGTAATATTAACGAAATAACAATCAACGGACAATAATCTTATTAATGATAATAGTAATTTGTAGAGGTCGATGATGCTTCTTATTAGAGAAATTATTAGAGGAAATCGCGGCGGAGGTGCTCGTCGATACTTCGACGCGGCGCAAAATCTTGGATTTGCGTCAAACAATATTGCACTGAGTGGGCCAAAAGTGTTGAAACAAACATTATTGCATTGTTTCCTTAATATTATATTATATCTTTATATATTATACATTTTATATACTTAATATAATTTGCGAAGCTATTTTTTGGCTTTCGTAAACTCGTGATTTTTCTTTCTGTAACATTCGGGAAACTGTTGCCATTCATGCTACATACGCGCGAGCTAGTTTCGACTTTTCGACTCAAAGTGTCATGACGAAATTCAGTAGAACGCATTCTCTCCCATTCTTTCACGCAGTACATTTAGCGGTTTGACAGCGGTCCGGATGCAGGCAGGTCGCTCGCTGCTTCTCGTTCGGTTATCATCGTTACACCGTTCTTATCGCGTAAAAGCGCCATTCGTTCATTCCGGACGAACCTATTCACACACAATCATTCGGGAATCAGAGTATTAAGTACCGAGCAACGCACACAGGCGCGAGAATTCACGAGTTTCTGTCTTTTACTCTTCCTCGTCACTTCCGTACTTGACGCGCGCTCACGCTTGCTTGGGATGCGCGGCGGGCGCGGCCGGTTCCGTGCGGAAACACGACAGTAGGAAACCGGTGTACATTAGGAAGAGGATGGCAATGGCGATCAGCATGTACATATAGATATTCAATTCCGGTTGTCGGTATCTGTTCTTCCGCAGCCACTCGAGAACGTCTTGCTCGTTGTGCAGGTCACCTGGAGAGCAAGTGGAACATGAGCGGCGATATAGAAGCTATTTCTTACAAACACTCTCTCACCTCTGTAGATACTAGGGAATCGTTTGCGAAAATGGACAATAGCGGGAAGCTTGGTGACTCCCCATTTCCGTGCGTATCTTGGATCTCCCATCTTCACGAATGTAATATCCAGATTGTCGGTCTCGCCGTCGATCTCTTCCAGTTTCGCGTTCACATCCTCGCTCTCCTGGCTGTCATGTTCATCTGGAAGTGTAATGGCATTTACGTTAATTTCAATGTTACATTTGTAATATTTGTCTCTACAATTTGTTTATTTACAAAAGAAGACCGCGAGGAACTCGTTCTCGTCCAACAGTTTGTCCAGCATCTTCCTGTTAACTTCCTCGATCTCGTTTTTGATCTCAAATACGTCTTGAGAAGTGAGCCATTGCAGGATCTTGTCTTCTTGCGTGAGATCGCCGTCGTATATCAGCGGCGTTCTCTTTCGGAAATACACGAGAGACGGAACGTTGAGAATGCTGTATTTTTCCGCAGCTTCCGGGCTGGAAATCTTAACAAAATCGATGCCGAAGAGATCGGCTTCGCCGTCGATTTTCTCCAGCGCCTCCATTATTTCGTCACACTCCGGGCAATCTTCGTCATCTAGGTGATGCAAAATACAGCGCAGACGTACATATATATTTAATATGATATATAAATGTCATTTAAAATTAATTAAAAAATTTGCAATAAAAAAAATAGTGGAGAGCGTTCTATATAATAAGTTTGATGCGATTATTTAACGTACAAAAGAAAGCAGCTAGGAAAGGTGATTCATCAAGAAGCCTCTCAAACATTCTGTCATTGACGGACTCTATCTCATCAGCCAGTTCTCGATTGTCATCGTCGATTAGCCACTCGAGGACCGACTCTTCATTTTGAAGATCTCCTACTCGTGCGACATTTGAAAAGTGTTTTTGTTAGTCATTGTACAGATAAGAATATTGAAACATAATCGACAGAACCTTCGAATAGAAGAGGATTGCCATTCCGGAAATAAACGAGCGCCGGAAACGTCTTAATCGAATACCGCTTTGCCAGCTGCGGGTCTTGAATTTTCACCATGTGAATCCCAAATACGTCGCACTCGTCGTCAATTCTTTCCAAACCCTCCAGAATCTCGTCGCATATGTGACAATTTTGTTTATCTATAGATATTGATGTGACGTTTATACATCGAAAATAATCGGAGAGCTTATTCTTCGAATCATTAACTTACTGAAATAAACCGCTAAGTATTGGGTCTCTTCAACGGACGTTTCTAGCATCACTCTTGTGATCAGTTCGATCCGATCCTCCGTTCTTTGAGTAATCAACCATTGCAATACCTCTTCTTCCACCGAGAGATCACCTGTAAACGAATAATTGTCAGTGACATAGAATTTCGCAAAGTTTATTGCTAAAACTGCAGACCTGCGAACACATTTGGCAGTTGATTCTCGAAGTAAACTAGTACTGGAAAATCGGTCACCCCGTAATCTTCGGCTACCTTGAAATCCTACAAAAATGGGCAACAAAAATATTTTTAAACAGGCGAGGCGTTTCTAAATTCACTTTTCTAGAGAGAGCGTACAATGTTTATTTCATATTTTTGATCTATTTCTTTTGTGCGGAGTTTCGAGTTGTATTAATAATAGACTAACTTGTTTTATTATACAAATATTTATATTCAACACGAATATATAAAAAAGATATATCTTCACCTACCTGCGTTTTCACAAACGTAATGCCATGCCTGTCGCAATCGTCATCGATGTTCTCCAATTCCTCGAGTATCCCTACGCATTGCGCACACTCGTCGGGATCTACAGAACAATTTCTATCAATTTTTTATTTCTGGAATTCGCGGTTTCGAATAATCTACATCAACAATAGAGGTGATGATAATACTAAATAATGAAAGATTGCACATCGATATCGCTGATGCGAATGGTCTACTTGATACAAGGGAGGAATCTACTAAATACAAGGCATGTACGAGGACACTACGATTTACACATGATCTTTCAACTCTCACTGTGTCAGCGATATTAGAGCATCTGGTTTCATCGACGGAGTAAGCGAGAGAGAAAGAGAGAAAGACAGAACTTTGCATGCTGATCGGGATCTGTAGGTCACTACTGCTTGGCCGCGTGTTTTGTTCTCATGCTTTACACCTCGTGCATGTGTACCTGTGTAACTGTGTAATTGTACATAGAAAATACATTTCGGACAGAGGAGGATATATATATATATTTTTTTTTTGTTTCTTGGAGAAAGCGTCCTATGAACGTTCGGCCTGGAAAGTGGCGGTTTCTACGTCCAACTCTCTGTTAGCTATGAAACAAAAATAACCGAGGAAACACTGATGGTTAAAAGACATTTTTTATCAAACATGTGAGACATTTCATTTAGTCACCACGACGAGAAACAAATTGACGAGAGACACGAATAGGGAAACACAAGGTTGTCCTTGATCATCAGTGTTCTTTTCGTTCACAGTCTCCTACGTGAAAGCGCATGCACTATAGTGGTACGCGTTATTTCGCGAGGCTTTGCCGAATTTCGGAAAAGCTCGCGTGCATATCGCGTGCCGACGAGTCGCGCGCTTGTGCACGGAAGAAAAGTTTGCTGGCGCAGCATACTTTTATATTCCTTCGTTGATGCGAATATAATTATTGTAAACAGCGAAAGAACTGGGTTAAGAGCAATTTTATTTGTTGAAACAATTGTGCTGCGTCTGCAAGTTATTTTGTGATAATAACGAATCGATCTTTAAGCAATTTTGTTTGACCACAACTGTTTCACATTAGCAACAAAATTTATCTATTTTTATTAACAAACAGATTTTGCTGCAATATTAAATAAATAGCTAAAAAATATTCGATTGCTTTTACATTAAACTTGTAAGCGGTAGCAATGGTTTCGCTGCGACAGTCGAATACTTTTTCTCCGTTTGTATATGCACTGGGAATACGGAATCTCGGCTGTGATCAAGATAACTAATCTGGAACAGACTATAATCCATAGAAAGGTAGAAAGAGGAAAGACATAGAAAGAGAGAGAGGGAGAGAGAGAGAGAAAGAGAAAGAGAGTGAGATAGACAGCAAGAAAGCTCAGGGCGCTCGGTAAACTTTGCTCTTTGATCAGTTGTACCATCAGAATCCTCGGCCGTAGCGTGTTCCGCGTTCTTGTGCTCCTGCTTGTGGCGCATCTGCTTGCGGTACGATTTTGATTGGCACATGTCGCAAAGCGTTCTGTTCCCTACGGCATTAGTACACAACGTGTACAGCATCGGAGTAAAAGTCGACGGTGGTAAACGCGGTAACGAAACGAAGGAGATCGAAAGAGGGCTGATATTTGTTAAAAGGCAGTTAGCAATTTCCTCATTACAATTAACGATACAAAATTGATTATAAAGATTTAAATGTAGAAAGGGGAGGGGTGAGAACATGGGACGTGGAACACTACACAAGTGGGTACCGAAGGAGCAATAATTTTTTTTTCGTCAACATTCGCTCTTGAGAAATTTCCTGGCGAAACGCAGTTTCCAATCTCGCTATTTGGACGAGGCAGATACTGTTGGTTTATTCGTCAAGCCGATAATCACGTATTAATTACGAGTACAATAAAAATAAAGTAGAAAAAAATAGAGCGAAGCTGTTATTAGTTGTTTTTCTTTTTTTACCGTAAAGGATAACGACGCTTTAGAACTTACAGAAGTACACGGCTAAAGATTCCGATTCTCGTATCAGGTGCAGAAGTTCCTCGCCTTCTAGGGCCTCGATCACCTCGCCCGAAGGATCCTTTTGCGTCATCAACCATTGCAGAATTTGCTCCTCCTCGTACAAATCACCTGCCGAAGATATACATTTGATTTTCTTTCTCTTTCCGATTAATTGAAATTAGGTAGTTTATCGCGTGCCTGCGTATATAACTGGCTCCTTCGATCCCATCTTGAAGAACAGGATGGCCGGCAACGCGAAAACACCGTAATGCTTGGCCAACTGTTTGTCGTCGATCTTGACGAATTTAATACCGGCGCCGTCGGCCTCGTCGTCGATGTGTTCGATCTCCGCCAATACTCGGCCGCACTGTTTGCAGTCGTTGCTATCTAAACAGATGCGAGATATATTAGAAAAAAAATTGAGAAAAAAAACGGTTGTCCGACATGTCGCGCTATTTTATTGACTATATCATACTTACAGAAAAATACGGCTAGATAATCAGTCGTTTGTCGGACCTTTTGAAACATCTTCTTATTGATACGCTCGATATGATCGGTCAGTTCCATATTTTCCGGGTTGGTCAGCCAGTCGAGGATTTCCTCCTCGTCGTCGATGTCACCGTCGTAGTTAATGTTCTTACCCTTGCGGAAATAAGTGATGCCGGGCGGATTGCGGAAGCCGTATTTCTTCGCCATCAGCCGATCCTTCAATCGGACGATCTTTATTCCATATTCCGCGGCCTCGTCGTCAATTAGCTCGATGTGCCTAAGCACTCTGGGACTCTCTGGATCTTCCTCTTTGTCTACGTGTATTTTTTATTTACGTAAAAAAATCGCAAGATATAAAATTTGATGTGATTGTGATATTTTCTGTTTCGAATGAGATATGGATTACAATTATGAGATTTTTCTTGAGACGTAATGAAATGTGCAAAATGATTTGTTATTAGTGATATAAAGATAAGTCAAAAATATAGAGTCAAATTTCTCATTCAAAGTTTCTTTTTCAAATCGATTTTTGAAATCGAATAAATAATATATTTTCTAAAAACAAATTTATTTTACGTTATCGACTTTTTTGTATAGAATTATTTTCTTGTTTTGATGTATCACCAATAACAGATCATTCAATGTAAAGAAATGATCGATTGCATACAACAATTTTTTGTCTTATCGTTCGCTACTTCAATGCAAAATATGTTGATTAGAAATTACTCCTTACAAAATATGACAGCGAGAAATTCTTTCGTCTCGATGTATTTGATGAAAGTCTCACGGTCAATTTCTTCTATACTCTCGTCGGTCTTCTGTTTCACCATCCATTCGAGTACCTCAGTCTCGTCAAGCAGATTACCTAAACGTTGTACATTGGCCTAATTGATTATTTATCAATTGTTAACCTATATTTTGAGTTAACGTTGAATTAATAAAGTTCGAATAGAGAAGCCTAAATTCAAAGGCCTCATATCTTGATGGATTTTCAAAAGTTTTGAGGAAAATTATAAAATTATATTCTATTTTACAAATTTTTTTAAAACACTGCATACATACGTTTTATAAAATATAGACATAATTTTCCAAGATAAATTTATGTATTATATTGAAAAATATCTAAATCTATCATTATATTAATTTTTTTATGTTGATAAAGCGATAGTTTTATTTAAATTAATTAATGGAACGTTGTTCTGGAATGGCTATTCATTTTAAGTTTTAATAAAATTATTTTATCGTAAAATGGAAAGCTTTTTCAAGGATTAATTTATCCTCTTCATATAACAACTGCTGTATAGCAAATTGTAGATGCGCTTAATTTGTCAAAACCTGTTGTTTATGCACGTGTGTGAGATAGATGTGAATTTTTACAAAGAAGAAATTAAAAAAAAAAGTAAACTTTATTTTGATAGATATGTGTTCGTTAAATAAGAACAAATTTTGCATTTTTTTCTAAATGTGTCTTACGTATTTCTAAATGTATCTTATTTATATTCACGAAATTCTCTAATTTGGTTTTATTTGATATTAATGATAAATTTGAGAAATTTTAATGAGAACTTTTATTGCTGTGATTGTTGGACATCGCGTGTAAGCGTATGTAAACTATAGTAATTGAGTCTGTATCATTATTAGCGATGGTGGGCGAAGCAAATACAAAGGATATTAGGAAATGTATTTATTGTTATCGTATAATATCGATTTTTATTATCGTACATGCTGCTTTCTTATGCGAATAACAAGGACTTATTGGCTCGCACACAAACGTTCACGAGCAATAATTCATGACGTCTGATAATCGTGATCACAGATACAGTGCGACAATGAATTTTGCGTTGATCGCAAAGGTTTCATCCGTTGACGACGCAATAAATCTCTCTAAAGTGTCTAAAATGATCGATGTCACGCTCTTATGTCGGGATATACAATATTATTACGCGTATCTCACCTATGACTTGACAATTTCGAGCGTGGCGTGTTTGTATCTTGCGCAGATTATCGGACATTGAGCGACAAAACGGCGAGTATTGAAGTTAAGAGGTATTTCAATGTACAAATAAATAAATAAATAAGTAAATAAATAAATGAGCGCCTTTATCGTAGTTTCGTCGCGCGATCTAATCGCCGATAAGCTATTCTTCGTTTACGTTTTTATGTCGGTTCATGCAGCTATATATAAGCGATTAGTGATAGTGGATGCGATAAGAAACTCACTCGAGCCTCGATGTAACATGAAAAAAAGATTAGGATTTGTTTACGAAACTAAAAATAGCGTTTCGAATTAGAATACCTTTTTTTTATTGTAATGTATTCTTTTTTATCGATTTCTTACTTTCCGAAATTTCAAAAATGAGATCACGATATCGATGGCAGATTTATATATAGTTTCAGTTATTTTAGTTTATGATATCGAATACTTCGAAACTTTGGCAATTTTAATCGATTAAATTGCCAGAGTTTCGAATTGCCAATCGAATCAATATCATTGAATTTTTGATAAAGTTTACGAAGATTTCGTTTTAAAATAAATGATTAACTTAAACACACAAGTTCGCGTATTAGAAAGATAAATGATAGGCAAGACATTCGTTCATAGCTCTGTGCTAATTCATGACTTCAGGCTCTTTCAATCTTGAGATCTTCTTGTCTTATAAATAATATAGGAGAGGAAAATTAGCTCAAGAATCGATAGGCTTCTATTTGGGGCCGAGAAAGCATACGGAGATCGATAAAGATGAGGCTCCAGTGCGAAAGATTTTAGTGTTACAAACAATTAATCTCACGTTAAAAAAAAAATTAATCGCCAAAGCGCATACCGCGAAATCTAGGTAGAACACTATGATAGAGTCTCGGCAACAGCGACCGTTATATTTCCCTTTTCTCTACACTAGAAAGTCCTACCCTTTACCGCGCGAATGTTACCGATGAAATGCAACAGTGGGCGGTATCGCTCGTTGTGACGTTAACGGGTTAACGAGTAAAAACAAAAAAAAAACCGATAAACAATATTCAGCGTTAGACGATGGCCGGATGTCAAGGATCGAGATTCTATATAAGAAATGCATACGTTGCGAGAATAATTCTATATATTCGCGCGTGACCATCGGACTTGACACATCTGTCGAACGCGTTGCTCTTCTCGAATATATCTCTTTTAGTGTCGTAAACATTAGCCAATGTGCAGGGCGAAATTATTCCTCTATAATATCCTTTTATCGATCGTAGGATGCTTCTAATAACTGGGCTTCTTGCATATGTACAGAAATATCAAAAATCGCTCGCAGACGTTTCCATTGATGTTTCTGCGCGTGACGCATGGATGAATACATCGAGAAGAAAGATGTCGTTGACTTGTGGCGATGAGGATGACATTATATTTATAGTGCTGATGACGATGACGCTGACAATAATGACGCGAGTATAATAACGATAAACGTCAATGAGTTCGAGGACGAGCACAATGATGCGTGGGCGATGTTGTTGAGAATCGACAACGATAGACATTGTTAAAATGGCAGCGACATATTTTGTTTTTTTTTTTTATTGGCAACATAAATTCGCTCAGCAGCGAAATTTTGTCCGCTGTGATTGTCCGAGCTGTTCCTCGTAGTTTCTTTTTTTTCCGTCATTTTCTGTCGCGCGAGCTTTGCGACCACGGCACCAACTAAACCATGTGTCATCCTGCGAGTACTTTTTCCTCGTTCCTTCAATCGTCGTTCACAGCTCGAACCTCGCGCGCCCAGACGCTGGTGTGCGCGTCGGCCGTTTAGACCTTCAAGAGGTACGGAATTCCAGCCATAACTGCAACAGTCCACGATCCAACTCTCAGTGAGAGGACAGAAAAATTCGTACTCGCGCTCTCCGTCGCGCCTTTTTTTTTTCATATTAAATACGCCCTTGTCATCCGTCCTCTTCAACGGCGATGTTCATTCGGGGAGGCGCGTGGTCCGGAAGCGGACGTTTCGAACCGATCAACGACAGGCGAAACTTACGGGAAGCTAGACTTGCGAAGAGGGATTTGCGAACATCAGGACGGGGCCAGGCTGATTTCCGAATTGCGTCTTGGAGCGAAAGAAATTTCAAATTTCAAAGCGTTATATTAAATTTAAGAAACAGCATCTGTGTAAAATCGCTACTCGCCGTTAACAATTACGATCGAGGCATCCTCGTAATTCGTGAATAGCCTTAGCCCCGTCGCGGGCGCGTTGAATCGATTACACGTGCCGTTGATTGCTCGATTAGTAGCTCGATAATTTAACGAATCGGTCGGCGCGGTCAAAGCAAATCGGTGCTCGATTATCCCGAGGACTCGGAGGATTCAGCCGCCGGTGCCAGCCGCGTGGAAGTCACGTGTCTTCGATCGTCTCTTGCTCGTCCGGAAGTCGCGCGTTCTTGGACGCTTCTTCATGGATCGCGCGAGACCCGCGGGGTACCTGCATCCGAGATACGAAAGACGAAGAGTCAGGTGTGACCGTGTCTCATCTCCGCTGCGGCGATCCTCCTCGCGCGGGGGTGTGGCTCGGCTTCAGAAAATCTTTCATCGAGCTCACTCGTTTTCCTACGTTCCCTTTCTCTTCCCGCTTACTACGCTAAGCATCTATCACGTTTATCCTCGCTACTTTTCCTTTCTCGCGAAGGCGCTCGTTAAATAGCTGCCCACCGCAGATATAGCTGCCCGCCGTTGCTCGCTCCTGCTTTCCGCGATTAACACGAATTACACAAGTCGATTTAATCATGAGTCTGTCGTCAGATTTTTCATTCCGAAGAAGTCAGCGGGACGATTTTCATTTTCGATAAAAATTAATCTTCCTCGATGAATATTGCACTTAATGTTGAAACGATCGAATCGGATCACCGTATCGGATTACCGCGTGTGTGTGTGTATGTGTGGGCAGCCATTTAACTTCGCGGTTGACTGAGATATTTACCGCTTCCGAAAAATCCTCTCTTGGCCTTAGACTTGGATTCCTTCGCGTCGACGTCGACTCTCGGCGATATCGTCGCTGATTTTTTGCTCTCCTTGGCCGTGAGCTTGTTTATCGGCTTCAGGGCCGGCAGTTGCGGCTTATCCGTTCTGCCGGCGCCGTGAGATTTGCCCTTGTCCTTGGCAATCGGGCTGATTTTGGTGACCTTGGCGACCTTGGTGCCGTGGGCGAGCTTGGCGGGACAGCACTGGTAGGGCTCATAGGAGGGAATCTTGGGTTTCGCGCTTTTACCTCCCATCCCGATGTAGAAACAGCCGTCGCCTGCAGTAAGCAAATATACAACGAGTCAGATACAAAGAGAATGAGAGAGATTTGTGAGAGTTGGCTAGCCTATGGCTGATTGGTCTCGTCGCACGAGTCAATCCGGATCGGACGTAACAGTACACGGACGAAATCGAATGAGGGTACAAGAATTGACAAAAAAAAGAGAGAGAGAGAGAGATAACGGGGCAGAGAAAGAGAGAAAAAGATGAACGAGACACTGGAAACAGATAAGAGAGAGAGAGAGAGAGAGAGATATAGAGAGAGAATCGAGGAGGAAAACGAAAATATATTGACTCGTGCGATCTCGACGTTGCTAGCGCATAGAGAACGTTCCACTGCAATCCCAATTGCGTAGCAAAAGCCAAACGTGCATGTTTTAGACAATGTTGTAACAGAGACTCTCGCGGCGAGTCGACGACTCTTTCTATAGCCGTTAAAAAACGTGAACCAGCCTCCTCTTTATTTATCGTTCGCTCGATAGAATTTTTTGCAGCGTTCATCTACCACCGAATGCGAATTGTCGTGACGAGAAAAAAAAATCATCGAAACTTGCCGCGATAATTTGCGAATCATGTCGCGATAATCCGAAACACGAAGAAGCTTATCCTTCTATTTGCCCTTGCTTTCCCGAACGGAGACTAGTCTGATTTCTTTCGACTCGGAGCTCGCTGCAGACGACAGCTGTCAACTACGACAGGAACCATCGGCTCGCTTTGGAGAAGCCCATTATTATTTGAGGGTAAAAAAATGCGACCAAGACTGGAGCTACGCACCATTAGTTCTGCAATAACTGCAGTTCGCGTACCAAGATGGAAAAATTAAACGTGCGATTATACTTTGAATAAGTAAAATAATGTGAATCAGTGCACATAATTATCAAATAAGTACAAATCTTTATTATTTTAAAGCTCTATAGCTGTCTGTTGCGCGAAAATTTTGATTGATTCTAAGAAATAATAATGACTCGGTCGCGTAGCTCCTACCTAACAAAGGACTGTTACAAGGCGGGCATGCATTACGCGAGAAAGATTTGGAAACTTTGAGGAAACTTATGACGGTCGAGTGGAAGGCTATATAGGATGCACTTTGCGAGTGTAAGTAGAAAAAAAAAGATGAGACAACGTATTCATGCAGGATAGGTCCTACACGGCCCAGCTCTACCGTGAATGGTGAGTGAACAGCCACGTTTCATCTAAATTATTGTTGTTATCAATCAATACCAATCGACCTATTGGTATGTATACGTCTACGGCTTTTGGGATATCATTGTAGTTTCTCTCTTTCGCGCAACACAAAGCCCGTCACACTTCGATCTCACGTGAATTCCTCTTCGGCCTCCTGGGTCGTCGTTGGACTTTTACCTTTGTCCAGGATTTTCTTGAGGGCTTTGTTCAACTTTTTATCGTTATCTTCGTCGTCGTCGTCATCATTATCATTATCATCATCATCATCCTCATCATCATCATCATCATCGTCTTCATCATCATCATTATTATTCTCATCATCGTCGTCGTCATCATCATCGTCTTCGTCGTCGTCGTCGTCATCGTCGTCGTCTTCGTCGTCGTCGTCATCGTCGTCTTCGTCGTCGTCGTCGTCGTCGTCGTCGTCGTCGTCGTCGTTGTCGTCGTCGTCGTCATCGTCGTCTTCGTCATCGTCGTCTTCATCATCATCATCATCCTCATCCTCATCATCATCATCATCATCATCATCATCATCATCATCATCATCATCATCATTATCATCATCATCATCATCATCATCATCATCATCATCATCGTCCTCATCATCGTCCTCATCATCATCGTCATCATCATCACGATCACTATCATTACCTGCATATTAACAGGGTTATGGGTAATATATAGCGCGATGGAAAGCCAGATTGTGTACCTAGGTTTTTTGTGATCGATACGGCCTCGGTCCAAAGGGATGACATGCATTTTAGAGTGACAAACATTATTGACGCATATCACATTAAACATTTCCGCATTATTGTTATATACGCAATATTATTATATCATACAAAAAGAGAAAAGATATTCTTCCCAACGATCGAGACTCCCTATCTCGTAAACCCGTTCATTGTTGCGAATAAGTAAGATAGGTTTAGTGAGCCAAATAGTGTCCGAAGCCTCGTGAAGCGATCGTGCTTATACGGAAAATTACAATAATATAAGATTATCGCGCGTACATGACCTAAAAACAAACGTGAACAAAGATAAAAATTCATATAGATATTGCTTATTCTGCTGAATATTTAAAAAACGAATGGCTGAAGCCAATAAGTGCGATTGCCGGTGCACATAAAACTCAGCTACTAAAATTATTTTAATACGAATATTTATACACATATGATAACTGATGTTCCCGATTCATTTATTAACTCGTGATTTTAACTTTGTATCGATACGAATCACAAAAGCTTCGTTAAAAACGCGTTTCAAAAAGAAAAAAATATAAAAAATAAAACAGCCATTAGTGCGCCGAAAGCTGCTGTAAGCTTCGATATTTAATTCATGAGATCGTTATTCGTTGTCGGACGGTGATGCGCCGTGACATTTTCTTCTGTAAAACTATGGATTCCAGAAAAACTTGCACGACGCATTATCGCCCGAGCATATATTCGTTCTGCATTATCGCGTAAATGCAAATGCGTACTAGTGTGTAAAGAAACATGTGAGTAAAAAGAAAGGCGAGTAAGACAAGCTTGCGAGTGTAATTTAAATGCATTATATATCGCGACCAAAACTATATATGTGGCCAGCGTGCATATCGAAAGAAAAAAAGAACACGTTTATACACGTTTCACCGAGCTTCGTGACATCCCACATTTTTTTTGGATAAAACCCTCATTATACTACGCGGATCTAAACATGCATCGCGCGGTTATACCGACGTTACAGAAAATCCTCTACGTTAGACGGACGTTTTACGTTCGTTTTCTTATTTTTTTATTTCTCTCACGATTGCGATCATGGTGATCGTGATGGTGGTAGTGTGATCGGGGTGATCACCACGGCGTGAGTATTGTACTCGTAGCCCGGTGGTATAGTCACGACCGAGATTAACGTCACAAAGAACAGTACACCAGTAATAATAATCATCATCCTAGAAATCTCCTTACTTTTCTGTTCGATTAGCCATTCCAGAACTCTGTCCTCGTTCTTAAGATTACCTACAAAAGGCACACACGCGTATCAGGATCAGCCAGGTTCAATGGCGAGATCATTGTCGGTGGAGGGTTTCGTTTATCGCTTTATCGACGTGAAACTTGCTGAAAGGAACACGCTAAGTCGCTCTTCATTCCACTGTAATCGCATTATCTCAATAAATTTATATGAATTTGTAATACATTGATAAAATTTCTGTTTAAAGTCAGTCGAAATTTATATGTTTTTATTTTTTACAGAATTATTTTCAGAAATTTCAATCAGAATATATATTATATATTTCTATGAATTCAATATTCATAAAATATTTTCATTTTCGCACATTGCAAAAGATATTTAATGTGTTTAATGTTTTGTTTATCCAATTTTTAATATTTTTATAATTTTTAAATCTTTTGTAAATAATAATTTGTTTCAAAACGTAGAAGGAGAGAGTGACTTAGTAAAAAAAGAACGCGTGAAATGTTTGATATTGTTTCCTTTACGTAAGAAACGAGGATTGTTTAACGAAGGGACGGGAAAGCTCTCGATTATAAAAAGCAAAAGTAAAATCTTTCGGCACTTACCGTCGTACATGATGGGGACGCCGGTCTCGTAGTAAACGAGAGCCGGGAAGGAGAAAACGCCGATTTCAGCCGCCAGTTTAGCGTCGTTCGATTTGACGAATTGGATACCGTGCTTGTCGGTATCATCATCAATCGTTTCTAATTCCTCGAGGATCTGTCCGCAGGATTCACATTTGTCGTCGTCTATTAAATTAGAATTTTTATCATGTACAATCAAAATATACACGCAAAAATTTATATCATTTTCTATTACAATTGCTGTTTAAAGTTGACATAAATTGAAAGTATGATAAAAGCATTGCGTTTTATGTCTCAAATGCCAAACAAAAAAAATGAAGAATGTAAATATGGAAGGTATATTTTAGTAAGAGCACTTTTCTTGAGCGGATCAATCTAATAGCGAAAATAAGAGCTAATACTTACAGAAGAACACGGCAAGATGCTCGACATCGTTGATGAGCACTTGCAACGTCTTCCTATCGACACTCTCGATAACATCTGGCGTGGTTGTGCGAAGCTCGAGGACCCACTCCAAAATCTCTTCCTCGTGCATCATGTCACCCGAATAGATCTGCCGGAACTTGTGTCTGTAGAACACTAGTGCCGGCAATCCCGGAAGATCGTATTCCTTCTCGATTCCTTCGTCGGATATTTTTACAAAGTCAATCTCCTTCTCCTCGCACTCGTCGTCGATATTCTCGAGCTCTTGCAGAATCTTCTGGCTCTTCTTATCGCCTTCTTTGTCTGCAAGCAAACATGGTACAATGTATCGCGAACTGTCGATCGATTGTCGCGTTTGTTTATATAGAGACGTACAGAAAAAGACGACGACGTAGTCGTTTTCGTCGAGAATGTTCTCCAGCATCCTAGCGTTGACCTCCTCGATTTTTCCCGGTATTTCCAAAGTGTCCTCGTCCGTGATCCAGGACAGCACTTCGTCCTCGTCGTCGAGATCACCGGTGTAGATCAGAGGGTCCTTGTTTCGGAAGAACGCGAGGGTAGGGAAAGTCTTGATACCATATTTCTTCGCCATGCTGGTGTCCTCCGTGGTGACGAATACAATTCCCGTCTCGTCCAACTCGTCGTCGATATTCTCTAAATCGTCGAGAATACTGTCGCACTCTTCTCCTTCGTCGCAGCTTCCGCCTGTCATAATTTTTATTCGATTATTTCAAACGAGCTAAGAAAAATGCTTAATTAATAATTAACTCAATGCAATTTAATTAAAAATATTAATAAAAATTTTTTTAATCTACTTTTTAAATGTAAAAATTCATCAAATGTGAATTCACTCACTGAAGTATACTACAACGTATTCGTGATCGTCTATGAGATCCGTCAAAATTTCATCCGTGACCTCCTCAATGGTAGCGCTGTTCTTCTGCTGTATCAGCCACTCGAGGACCTCGTCCTCGTTGAGCAAATCGCCCTCGTAGATCGCCGGGATTTTGTCCTCGAAGTACACCAGGGTCGGCAGATGATCGATGCCGTATTCCTTCGCCTCGGCGTCGTTGTCCATCCGGACGATGACGATGCCCTCCTTCTCCAGCTCGTCGTCGATGTTCTCCAGCTCGTTCAGGATCCGGATGTCCTGCTTGTCGTCCTTGTCATCTACGGAAAAGAATCAATTCGCTGGTCGCTTCTCACTCGCGGTCGTACAACAGCACCTACCTAACAAGTAACAGTGGAAGAATGTTAAAAGGAGGTAGAAAGAGACGAATCGATCGCTTACAAAACAGGACTGCCGTGTACGGCGCGGACTCTACGAGCTTTTCGACCATTTCGTCCGTTACTTCCGGGATCTCGGCGTGTTTTTTCTGATGCAACAGCCAGCCCAGTATCTGATCCTCGTTCATGAGATCGCCTACGATATCGCAACAGGAAGAATATTTTTCAACTTTTTATCGCGTGTGTGTGTTTTTTACGCAAATTTTCTGCAAGACTTACCGTCGTAAATGTGTGGTATCTTCCGTTCGAAGAGCACCAAAGTCGGAAGCGAGTCTATGCCGTATTCCTTCGCCTCTTCCGTGTCACTGATTTTCACGAAGGCTATGTTGTGCTGGTCGCAATCGTCGTCGATGTTCTCCAGTTCGCTCACCACCTTCTGACTCTTCTTCTGATCTTTGTCATCTATAGAGCAGCAAGCAGTAAAGTTTTAAAGTTAAAAATGTAAACATAAACAACGTTTTTATATAAAGAAAAATTGCATATTACTGACAAAAGAGGACGGCTACGAGCGGCATCTTATCGATAACCATGTCGAGCATCTCGTCGGTGACATCCTCAATTTGGTCGGCCTTCTGTTGTTGCTCCAACCATTTGAGTACCTTCTCCTCGTCCTCCAGGTTGCCTTCGTACACCATCGGAATACCCTTCTCGAAGTAGAGCATCGCAGGCACTTTATTGATACCATATTCCTTAGCCTCCTCCACGTTGTCGATCTTTACGAACGTCACGCCGAGCTGATCGCACTCGTCGTCGATGTTCTCCAATTCGTTGAGGACCCTCTGCGACTTTCGATCGTTGTTGTCGTCTGCGATCATTACGAAAAATGTCTCCCAAATTATTTATTTATGTTTTCATTGATTTCCTCACGTGCAATAAATCTTTTGACGTATAAGACAAAACTGGCGAACAAAAAATGGATATTAAATATACTTGAAAAATTATTTTTTATCTATATTTATCGATTAGCACGACTTACAGAAGAGCACGGCCAAGGTTTTTCCATCTTTGATAAGGCGGTCCAGCATCTCATCGGTGACGTCTTCGATCTCATCCTTCTCGAGCTGCGATAACAGCCACTCCAGGATTTCATCCTCGTTCTCAATATCTCCTGCAATCGAGTTATTTCATTTTGAAAGAATCAGTTCACGTGAACGTTTTGTTTTTTTTTTTAGTCTACATCTGTGTATCTTGTTGCGATTATTTTTGGCATCGTTTATATATATGCACAGGTATCGTCTTTCTTCGCCCGTGTTTTTTTTCAATCCACCTACCCACCGTCGTAAATATTTGGGATCTGTTTCTCGAAGTAGACGATCGCGGGTAGATTGTCGATTCCGAATTCCTGCGCCGCCTTCTCGTCGTCGATCTTCACGAACTGAATCCCGTGCTTGTCGCAGTCGTCGTCGATCTTTTCCAGCTCGTTCAGGACCTGCATAGAGTCCTCATCACCGTGATCGTCTGCAAGCACGAGAGCGCGTTACGAGACGAAAACGTGTCAAGCGGAGCCAAAGATTATGTAAAAGATGCGAACAGAACAGAACGACTAGATTGTCAATGTTTCCGATCAGTGTGTTTAACGTCTTGGCGGTGACATCTTCGATAACATCCTCTTCGTCTCCCGTGCTTTTGTTCGCCACCAGCCACTCCAGCACATCTTCCTCTCTGCTCAATTCATCTAAGAGCACGTACTACGAATTAATTTCATCTTTATATTGTTCCACATAATTGAAGTAGGATAAAATATTATATTTCGATAATACAAACTTGATGACAATTTTTCAATCATTAGTTACCGAATTACGCGGTGCCAACAGAATTTTCCAAAATTGTTACAAACATAAAAAAATCGAATTTCTTTCAAATTAACTTTTCACGTAATTATTTGCGTGAGGTAGAAGAAAAAAACATTTAGCGTCATGTGTGCTATCAGAAATAAATGTAAAACATTTTTTTGTACATAAAAAATTAATCTGAAATCAGTCAACAAATATTACCGATCACATCTGATGTACAACTGCTATAGGTACTTACTTTATATCACGATTAAGATTTACATAATTTGATTTAGACAATATTGCGTCACGTTATACGCCCTACAAATTACTCACGTTCCTTCATACTTACGTTCGTAAATGATTGGGATTTGGTGCCTATAATACACAAGAGCTGGGAGAGGACCGAGATTATACTCGTCCGCGAGCTGTTCGTCCGCGATCTTTACGAAGCCGATACCTAATTGATCGGCTTCGTCGTCGATGTTCTCCAGTTCTTGCAGGGCCTTGAGACACTTTTTGCAGTCTGGCTTGTCTGTCCCATTTAAAATAAAAAGATGCATTATTGTGTGCCTTTTGTTGTTGAACGACCAACGCCACTCTCGGGCGTCGATTATTTCCGTCCACACGCGTTTCGTGCGGCCTTTCATGATTGAAAACTCGATCTCTTATGATCTGAACTTTATCTCATCCTTTACTAGCCGGTAGATGCGATGAACAAAGCCGCTAAACGTCCGGTGTGTACATTACCAAAAATAAAATATAAAAATTGGTAATTATTCACGATGTTGCCGAAAGACCTGTGATGATGGCGACATTTTGTAGTACATTTTTCTTGAAATAATGAATAATCATCTTTAGATAAGTTAAATCAGATGAAACAAGAATGTCGACACGAGTGGATTAGTATACACAGTTACTCTCACTCTTTTTATGATACACATTGCTCTAAATCTAAACAAGGATAATGCATTCTAATCTCCTACGTCTGACTGGTGCACACTCAGAATGCAAATAATGATTAAAAATTCACTTAATATTTGAATTAGCCAAGAGAACCATACTTCAAAGCGCTAATAAATAATAAAAAAAAAAAAAAAAAAAAAA